TACGAGGTCCCGATCATGTGATCACTGATTGGCCAATCAGTGATCACATGCAAAGTAGTAAGCAAGATGTCACTTCTGATATCATTGCTTACTACGTGTGAAATCTGTGAATGATCACAGAGGTCACATGGTACAAGGCTATTCACAACAGCCTTGTACCATGTGACAAGCTGTGACCAATCACAGCTCACTCAGTAGTTCTCAATGGCTGCAAGAATGCAGACAGAGAGAAAGAGAAATGATTGCTTTTACATCCTATATGGGTGTAAAAGCAATCAGTGGGAAAAAAAAAAAAATCTTCATCACCCCCAAAAGTAGTACATGTTACCATGGTGACACTGTACTGCTAGGGTGACAGTATGTAAAAAAAAAATAAATAAATAATAATATATAAAAAAAAAAAATAAAATAAAAAAAAATGTTTAAAAATTATAATTTTTGGTTATAAACTAATTTGGCTTTTTTTTTTACTAAAAAGATAACGGAATAAATTTTGGCCAAGATTTATGATGAAATATTATTTATTTGCAAAATTTTATAAGAAAAACACTTTTTTTCAAGATTTTTGGACATTTTCATTTACATAGCAAAAATAATTAAAATCCCAGCGGTGAATAAATACCACCAAAATAAAGTTTTATCTGTCTCAAAAAAAATGGTAAAAAATTAATATGGGTACAGTGTTGCATGACTGCGCAATTGTCATTCAAAGTGTGATAGCGCTGAAAGCTGAAAATTGCCCTGGCCAGGAAGGGAGTAAAAGTGTCCGGACTGGAAGTGGTTAAGGCCACAATGAGTGACCTAGACATCAATGCCACAGAGGAATTAGATCTACTCATCAGATGGCTAGGTCCCCAGTCTACTGAACACATCAAGAGGCTCAAAGCAGTTCATATTGACAACCGTGCTGCAGGCCTTAATGCTGCTTGGGGCAGATTTGAACATACCTTTGGCAGCCCAGAGGCCTTTGAAGATGTTTTATTCAAAAGGTTGCAAAGCTTCCCAAAGATTTCTGCTAGCGACAATCTAAAGTTTCAAGAACTCAGCGATGTTCTATTAGAGCTTCAACTGACTAAGGCTGACATCAACTTACCTGGTTTCAGTTACCTTGACACCTCTCATGGCATCAAATCTATTGTTCTCAAGCTACCATATGGAATTCAAGAAAGATGGGCAGCACTTGGATCAAAGTATAAGGAAGAACATTGAGTTGCCTTTCCTCCTTTTTCCTACTTCTGCGAGTTCATCAAAAGAATTGCAGACACTAAGAATGACTCAAGTTTCTCATATGGGGACTGTAACCCTCACAGTACACTCTCTCCAAGACCTACGAACACACGTATGTCGCACAGAGACCGTAGAGGTCCAACGTTAGTGAAAAGGACTAATGTTCTACCTGCACCTGCTACAGTTCTTGAAAAGACTCATCAAAACAAGAGAATAGAGGACCTAAATCAGCAGTGTCCAATACATAACAAACCACATCCACTTAAGAAATGTATCGACTTCAGAAAGAAAATGATCCATTTCATTACACCTCTCACCATTCAGGGTAAGATACTGATGAGGCAACTTACTTCTGAAAGCTCAGACTGGGATACCCCCTTACCCAAGGAGAAACAACAAAGGTGGGAATCCTTAAAACAATCTCTAAATCCTGAACAATGGCACTATGTTCCCACTAGCCTCAACCCTGCTGACCTCGGCAGTCATGAAGTACCTACTTCTGCATTTCGGGACACATCTTGGCTATATCCACCGTGAAAGAAGGTTCTGCACACCTTTACTTCAGGCCTATAAAGGAACTAGTACTTCTTTTGCCCAAAGAAGAAGACAAGTCATCAACCTGATTTAAAGGGAGGTAAGAAGGAATCGTGCATGTTGCTGCCTTCTCCTCTGAATATGGATTTCCATGTCTCAGCCAGGACTTTCGAGACCAACATCTGCAAGTATTATGCTAAATGTTTGCAAAGTTTTTCTTTTTTCTTCCCTTCCCTCTTGTTTTGCAGATGTTCCTGGAAATAATCTTTATTATTTATATTGGACTTGCATTAAAGTTTATTATAATAGAAATCATAGATTTCGACGGGGAGTGTCATGTTTCAAAAGATCTACAAGATGTCTTATCGATTGAGTCACTGACTGTGGTATCCAGCTGAGGTTGAAGTTATCACTATCTCATCACAACTGTAAGTTACAGAGATCACACTATCAATGCTTAGATTGGAGAGACAGAACAGCCCCAATCGAACCACTTTCATGCTCCCCAGATATGAACATTTTTGCCTTTGTCTCTGAAACATGGTGTTGTGTTTTTTTCTTTTTTTTTTTTTATTTATTGTTCATCATAACAACTGTCTTGCCCTCCAGAGGATTTACCCCCCTTTCTGACCAGGCCATCTTTTGCAATACAGTGCTGCGTTACTTTAACTGACAATTGCGGGTCATGCAATGCTTCACCCAAATGAAATTTATATCCTTTTTTCCCCACAAATAGAGCTTTCTTTTGGTGGTATTTGATCACCTCTGTGTTTTTTTTATTTTTTGCGCTATAATATAAAACAAACAACAATTTTGAAAAAAAAAAAAACAATTTTTTTAACTTTTTTGCTATCAAACAAATCCAGTAAAATTTTTTAAAAAATCGAATTTCTTCTTAACTTTAGGCCAAAATGTATTCTGCTACATGTCTTTGCAAAAAAAATCCCAATACATCCCAACCCCAATAAAGTTTTAGCATCTACAAATGGCTGTATACTGTATATACTGGAATTTTTATTTTAATTTTTTTTTATACTAATAATGGCAGCGATCAGCGACTTACAGCAGGACTGCAGCAGGCATTCAGACACTGGGGAGGAACTGAATAACTGCCACTGACATCCCAATGACACTAATACAGTGATCAGTGCTAATAAAAAGCACTGAACCTGTACTAATGACACTGGGCAGGAAGGGGTTAACACCTGGGGCAATCAAAGGGTTGACTGTGTGCTGTCTGCTGGTTTACATAATGTGCTGTATGTGTTTTACTAGGGGAACATGCTGCTGTGTATTTCTCTGCTGTGTCTCTCCCCTGTCAGTGTTACTCGGCGATTGTTGGATGCTGGCGGGGAATCTCCAGCTAGGACCCAGTGATTGACATCCGTAACTGCCAATGGCGATGGGGGTAGGGTGGCGCGCCCCCTACCCGGTAATGCAAATCACATATATATATATATATATATACACATGATCTTATGCAGCCCTGTCACTCTGTAGCGGTATTTCTGCTATAGGGCAGGGGGAAAGAAGGTAAGCTCTGCAATGTGGTTTTGTTGTTTGTGTAGAATAAAATCTGATATTAAATGGAAGATCATAACAAGCTAAGCTTTGTAACTCATTTTGCCTGTTTGGCAATTTATAGGACATTGATAGCTTTAGGGTTTTTTTTTAGTATATACCTTGCAAAAGTTTCTCTCTGCATTGCTGCACAAACGATTTTGGTAAAAACTACCTACTAAAAATGTATTTTGGGGTATAATCAAGAAACCAAAAAAGCCAAGAAAGTATGTAGAGGTAAAGTAAATGAATGGACAAATTAAGGGAAAGGTAATTTACGTGATGCCAGAATATGGTGTTGCTGAAGCTGTTCCTGAAAGTCATAATGCTCTGTAATTCCACATACATCATTAAGGTATACCCCAAGCACATGATTTCCAGGAATTGTATATTTTTATTTATTTTGCCCTTTGAACATATCTTTCCCTGTTAAACGATAATTATTTATCTTTTGTTTCCTTGGTATGTGGCCCATATGACAGTGACTGTAGATTAACTGGATCATTAGAAATTAACTCCACTCTACTGTTGAAATTATTATTAATATTTTATTTATATATCACCAACATATTCTGTAGCATTTTACAGCAGTGAACACAGTACATTAGGGGGTTTATTTACTAATGCTGGAGACTGCAAAATTCAGGCTCACTTCTGCTTAGAAACCAGCTTCTAACCTCAGCTTGTTTAATTAAGCTTTGTCAGTAAAACCTGGAAGCTGACTGGTTTCTATGCAGAAGTGAGCCTGATTTTGCCCTCTCTAGCTTTAGTAAATAAACCCCTGTATGCCTATAATACTCTACTGAATGAATGATGCGGCCGTGTGGGCTGCGCTGTTTTCAAATTGAACAGACAGTACGAGGAGACTTCTCTCCGTACTATCTGTCAGAGGGAGGGGGGGTGGCGGCTGTGCCCATGGGAACATGTTACATGTTCCACCCTAAAAACGGGTGAACTTATCCTTTAATTTAACAAAGAAAAATTCCAGAGGGAAAATGGTCAGTAGAGGTAAACCACCTAGCAGTGTCTTACATATCTAAGGATTCAGGTGGCAACTCTTCTACACTCAATTCCCCAGGTCTGAGCATTTTCAATGGACATCACAAGGGGCTTCACTTTTCTTACTTAACTGCTAGCCTACAGGGCACTTATACCCCTTCCTGCCAAGGCCAATTTCCAGCTTTCAGCACTCTCACACTTTGAATGACAATTGTACGGTCAAACAACACTGTACCCATATGAAAATGTTATCATTTTTTTGTGACAGATAGAGCTTTCTTTTGGTGGTATTTAATCACCTCTGGATTTTTTCTTAAACAAACCAAAAACCACAGAAAAGTTTGAAAAATAAATGTTTTTTCTTTTTTTTGTTATAAAATTTTGTGAATAAGTGATTTTTCTCCTTCACTGATGTGCGCTAATGAGGCTGCACTGATGGGCACTGATAGGCTTCAGTGATGGACACTGATAGGTGGCACTGATGGGCACTGATGAGGAGGCACTGGTAGGTGGCACTGATGGGCATTGACAGGCATCACTGATGGGCACTGAAAGGCAGCACTGATACATGGCACTGATACATGGCACTGATATATGGCACTGATAGGCAGCACTGATAGGCGGCACTGACTGGCACTAATAGGCGGCACTGACTGGCACTGATGTGCACTGATAGGCAGCACTGACTGGCATTGATAGGCGGCACTGACTGGCACTGATAGGTGCTACTGATTGGCAGCACTGATAGGAGGCACTGATTGGCATTGATAGGTGGCACTGATGGGTGACACTGAAAGGCAGCTCAGATGGGCACTGATATGTGGCACTGATGTGGCACTGATGGGCACTGGCACGAGGCACTGATGAGCACTGACATAAGGCACTGATGGACACTGACAGGTGGCACTGCTGGGGCTACACTGATCATCAGGGCACACTGATCATCAGTGCCCTGATGATCAGTGTACATGTCCCCTCCGCGGAAAGCTGATTACCGGTTCTCCTCTCCTCTCGAGCTGTCAGCGTGACAGCTCGAGAGGAGAGAAATGCCGATAACCAGCATTTCTCTTTTTACATGTGATCAGCTGTGATTGGACACAGCTAATCACATGACCGAGCCAACATCTTCGGCTCTTTCCGTGATCGGTAATCCGCTGTGTCCGAGGGACACAGCGCACCGTCGATCGCCGCGCTGCGCGCTCCCTGAGCCGCGCATGTGCAGTGAGAATGGGAAGACGTCATATGACGTCCTCCCAGAACGAGAGAACCACCTTGCGCCCGTCATATTACTATATGGTGGGCGGGAGGTAGTTAAATGACACATTAAGCGTAATGCAAGAGAAACATGAGAACAGTCAAAGGTAGGCAGAAATGCTCCACATATTCAAAGATTCTGGGAAAAGAGTTTGGAAATATGGCAGTGATATTTTCTCACTGGAGTCCTCAAGAGATGATTCAAATCCACTAGATCTACATAGGACTAAAACATCAATTTGGTGGACTGACCCCTTAAACCAACAGCAAATTCTAGAAGCCCAATTAAACATTCAGTTTAACTTTGCTAATAAATGTTGTACAAAGTCTTACAATTTGCTTTGTTTAGAAATCTGCCACAGCCTGAATGGAAAGTCCTGAGTCATGCCAGCCATGTTGAAAAGTGGAACCTTTGCTCCATGTTGTGAAGCAGTGGACTTTTTGCAGAGGTCTGACACACCTTTTGCTGTTTCAGAGCCAGAGCTCTCCAAACAGCTTGGAGCATGAGTTCTGCCAAACGCAGAGCTATGGGGGTTATTTACTGGTACAGCTCTGCATAGACACCAATCAGCTTCCTGATTTTATTGCCATGTTTAATTGAACAAGCTGAAGTTAGAAGCGGACTGGCTACAGAGCTGTACCAGACTCTGAGTGCTCTAGTTTTAGAAAAACTCCAGGTATATGTCTACCTTAGCAGCGAGTGTGTAGGAGTTCTGAGACCACTATTCCCATACACAGAGAACAAGGGTCCCTCTCTACAGCTGCTGGCAGGGGTCATACCTTTCTATTCAGGTTATTCTTTAGAAGGAACAAACTATAAGGACGTTAAACACCTTTTGATTTGATGGACCTGGAATGTTCATTTAGGCTTTAATTAGTTCATGTTTATGAAGTCAGCATATTCTAATTAATAACATTTTTGACCATGCATATATTTTTCAGCAAAGAAGGTCATATGTATATATATATATATAACTATACAAGGACTGTTATGTAAACATAGCAATGTGTAATTTACTACTGCTAGTATAATGAATTTTCACATGCATTACTAAATTCATATTTTATTAATGTCTCTTTTCTAAAGAACTGAAAGCCCTCCAGCAGCGCCTCGGAAATATATTGCTTGTCAAGGAAGTACTCTACACTAATAGCATCAGACTTACTTGTAGCCAACTGCTGCCGACACACAACAGACGCATCTTTATCGGTCCATCCATCATCACAGATTGTCCCCCACTGGCCATTGAGATAAATCTCCACACGCCCCTCTTTCTTTGTTTCACCATCCATCAACCTCAGAGGAGGACCTGGAACAACAGCAGCGGTGAGATAAAGACAAAGGGACACAGAGCACAGACCTCATTTACAGAGGACAAATGTGTGAGGTCATATCAAAATTATACAGCTCTCTAAAGATGCTTTAAACTGAATTACATATTGTAATTAAAAATATTCTTTTAAAATGCTTGGTACTTATCAACTATCCATATCAAGTAACGACAACAATTCTTTTGGACTCCAATATTAAAGCAGAGTTAAACTCTCACAAGAGGATGCTTAGTTTTGCAGAGAAATAAGCAAGAAAGGATAACTTTTTTCTTTGTTAAAAAAAAAAACAGTTTTCATCTTACTTTGTGGCTGAACATCGTTGGTTTTACTGTGGCAACAATAGAAAAACAAGGCAACACACAGCTGCTTGTACACCAACTCAGGAGAATGAAGGAAATGGTGACAATACTGCAGCTGAACTGAGTTAGTGATGTAACCCTAGGAATAAAGTGCCTATAGAAAGACCTTTCAGTAGCATCTCCAGGTATTATTATTCGAAAGCAGAAAATATAAAGAAATATTGAACTTTTTCACATTACAGGAACATGGGTAAGCGCATTACAGATTTAGGTGTTTGCATTCCAATACAATATTGATTATAGCACTCGCTACATACACTAACAAAAACTTGATTACTGGAAACCAATAATCATGGGAGTTACCTTGCATTCACCACCCACTTCAGCTCTTGGGCCTTTATACCTTATGGACCAGGACAATTTTTACATATTTCCTATGAGCCTGTTTATTCTGTGATAACTTTGTCATTACTTAATCTCTTGGTGCCAGCTGTCGGTGAGTGGGACCTTATTGCCAAACAGCTGCATTTATGCGACCCTGTTAAAACAACTTATTGTGCTGAGAGCAAGCTCCCTGCACGTTCCCATCATGGTAGCCGGCAGGGATCAGTAAGCCTCCCAAAGTAAACTTGCGATCGGGAGCTTTCCAATCATGCGACTGCTGTGACAGCCAATCACAGCAGTCACATGACCCAAATGCCCACCTCCACCTCCCAGGTTTTAGAACTCTTTAAGGGCCAAGAGGCAGTCGGCGCAAAGGGGTTAAGATTAGGGATGAGCTGGTATTTATTATGAATGGGTATAGGTCCACACCTGGAAATCAGCTGTCATTCCTGGGCCAAGGAATTGAGATTATGGATTCCATGCCCCACAGCTGAAGTACATAAAGGGGCAGGGATGCTTCTGGCTTTATGGACCTAGTGTGGCCATGTGGTGTCTTTTTAAACTGCATTTTGACAGCTGTTTCTGCTATGTAATGCATAGGAATTCCCAGATGTCCCTTTGACACCTGGTAATTTCTAGTAATAGCAGTAGGGGAAATGGTCATTTTTCTAGTTTAGATAGTAGAGACAAGTTAAAGTTCTGTCAACTTTTCATAGCTGTACAAATCCTGTTGGGGAAACATACTTTAAAGGACAACTACACCTTTGTTTAAAAAATCTGTGCTGTAAGGAGCATAGCACACTTATTAAATCAGCAATAAAACAGCAAAAAAAAAAAAAAGGTTTACCTTTTTTCTACATAAATTGCAATTTTGCCATTGTCTGCCTATCGTAAAGAAGATCTATCATTAGAATTTTTATTTTACAGTTATGTTTCCTAGGGGACAAAGTACATGTATTAGTTTGTTTCATTTTGTCTCTGTTTTCTAACCCTAGTTGTGAGTATCAACCTGCCCCCTTCCCCTCCTGCCATGGCAGATCCTACAACAGTTTAAAGGAGACCATTTATTCAAGGCTGCAGCTTGTTTCAGCTGTGATCACTTCCCTGAAGCAAGCAGTGGGAAGAGGAATGCAGAGGTTTCCAATTCCCCACTACCTCTTCATTATTCTTGCCACTAAGAAACATTTGATAAAATATGACATGCACTTTGTCCCATAGGGAACAGAATTTCAAAATAACAGTTTTAAAGATAGATCTTCTTTAACTAAAACCAAACAAAATAGTGGTCGCCAACATCACAATTCCTCATTACAGCAATACATTTTAAAGCAAAGATGTGTTGTCCTTTAATTATTTATTATGGTAAGCTTTATTACCAGAATAAAAAGTGATGGCAAATGTCACATTTTTTATGCTGTCACAAGAATAGGAAAAGTATTGATTTCTTCTCAAGAAGACACTTGCTTTAGTGACAATTGTCAAAAATATGTTTGCCTTACTTCCTGTTGTGTTCCTGGGACTGGAAGTGAGAAAAATCTACAAAATGCCAACACAGACAGTAATACAAATCTGACCGATAATTTAATCTTCCCCTCTCTATCCATGGCTAAAAATGGTCTAAACATGATATTTCATGGGAAATGTGATGGGACAATGATGGGACGAACCCCCCACTGACATTGTATATCTCTTAAGGACTCCAAAAGCAAACATTCTCTGATAGGGTTCCCAGTCATTTTCATCTTCACAAAGAATTCCATTCATCCTGTTGAGGTAGTGAAAGATTTACGGTAATGAAAAAAAATAAATATCTAACTGGGGGAGTAAGCCTTCCTTATAATGGCTCCAGGAAGTGTAAAGTTAGGTATACAGATCTTCCACCTGGAGTGCCAAACAAAATAAAACTATATCAGGGATGTCAATTCACCAGCATCTAGCATCTGAAGTAATTTATTAATTACTAGGTCATTCATTATTAAATAATATAGTACATAAAATGCTCAATTACTTGAAATTACTCGGTTATTTTGGAAAATGTGTTTTGACACATATTATGAAAAATGTTTTAGAACTAACTTTACACAAATTACCAATCCTGTATAAGCAATATATGTCTATAAAATACTGTTAAGCAACATATGCTTATTACTCTCCCTATATTCAGTGTATATGGTGCTTCCTTAAATGAACAAAAATTTTAATTTACACAAGCACAATGATATATATATATATATATATATATATATATATATATATATACTATATAGTAAAATATTTGTGGATACATGACCATTTTTTAGCCATTTATTTTATGGACAAAAGTATGCGAACAACCCTCCAAATTATTATGTCCATGTGTTTCATTTGAAGTGTAATGGTAATAATACAGCAGCATAAAAAGACAGTTGTACACTTCCAACCTTGTGGAAACAATCTGGGGAATGTGGTTTTGTGTTCCTATATGACTGTGCCTCTGTGAACGTAGCCAGCTGTGTAAAGATATGGTTTAATGAGTTTGGTGTGGAGGAACTTAAGTGGTCTGCATGGAGTCCTGACTGAACACCTCTGAAATAATTAGCAACACCAATTGTGAGACCGGTCTTCTAGTCCAACATCAGTACCTGACCATACAAATGTTCCTTTGGTAAATGGGAACAAATTTCCCATACAATCCAAAATGTCATGTAAAGCCATCCCAGAAGAACACTGTTAAAGTTGTAAAGAGGCATCCAATTCTATGTTTTTGTCATTGTTTTTGGAATGGGATGTCCAATGGGTTCATATAGGTGTGAGGGTTAGATGTCCACAAATGTTATTATATATTTTATATAA